GCATGGGATAATCGTATGATAAAATGACTTGTTTACAGAGGGCATCAAAGGAGATCTTCTGGTCCTCTAAGACTCTTTTACACGGTTTTGGGAACAATCAATTCTCTAAACTTTAACGCCTGTTAATAAAACCAGTAGGGCCTAGCTAAACGAGGCTGATGTTGCTTCCTCTTCTTTCCAAAAGTGCCAGATGTTTCCATTGATTTTCAGTAAGGCTCCTCGATGCTTTTAAGGAACCGTAGTACCCCTGGGAAAGAAGGCAGACCTCTGTGTAAATAGGTGGCTGGTTAAAGGGTAGGCAGAGGAGTTAGGGGCTAAATGCTGTCCTCTCAAAGAGGAGCAGGCTCACCATGGATTTCTGCTGAGGCCTTTGCTGCTCAATATATTCATAAATAACTTAGCAGTGAGGTGAGAAATCTTCCTGATTATATGGAGTTACTTGGGATAGGAAGAATATGGGGCTTTGCCAGGGGACCCCGTGGGGGTGAGTTGCACAGTGGTACGACGGCAGGTGGTGTTCACTGCAAAGCGACGCGCGTGGGATAAGAAGTTGAAATTTCGTAGATGAGGTGGTTGTCTCTCGGATCCGTTGTGCCACAGAGAAGTGAAATTTTGATGGTATAGATCCATGAAAATTGTCAGCTTGGCTACAGTAAAATTAGTGAACAAAATTTTAAGTACCGCTTTCCTGTTAGAAGTCATAAGGAAAGGAACAGAGAGGGAGAGCCTCGTGTGCACTTACGTGAATCCAAGGTCTCTTTTTGAGAGGCATGCATGTCTCTAGAATGCAGAAACAGTTAAAGCTGTGGCAAGTGCTTCCATCTGAAGAATGATTAATTAAGCTCAGGATCTTTAAGCTTTGTTAATGGCAAAATCAGAAATGCTGAAAAGCACTGGATAGTGATTGTCTTGTCATGGGTACTACCTAACAGGTACCGAATGAAGCTAGCAGCAGGCAGGTTCACAACAGACTTGGATTTTTGTTTTATTTTTAGCTCGGTGTGTAGCCAAGCTGCAGGGTACTATTAAGGCTAAAACTTGGTATGTTCAAAGGGAACATTGGTTTATTTTGGGAGAAGGGAATCCACTATTATGTTGAAAACCACCTTAGAGCTCAAAGCCTTGGGCACAAAATTACTGGTGTGCCTGCTGTTTTCCGTAGCCCTGATAAGTGTGATCAGAGACGAGGTGCCGAATTTGGTGACTCTGATGTGTTGTGTCTCGCTTTATGCTGAAGCATTTTCAAGTGGAGCCTTGATGTTTGGGGTGGCAGTTCTTTTGTGTGTCAAAAAACTGTTGCTTTCATGCAGTGTGTGGTAACATCATTGCTTCAGGTGTTGGGTTTTTTTTTATTTTACCTTAGTATTGCACTAATACCTTTTATTATTGCAATAAAAAATGGTGAACTCTGTAACTTTAGGTACTGGAATACCTGAATGACCTGAAGCAGTACTGGAAGAGAGGGTATGGCTATGACATCAATAGTCGCTCCAGCTGCATATTATTCCAAGATATCTTCCAGCATTTGGATAAAGCGGTGGAAGAGAGCAAAAGGTAAGTAACTTGTGAGATTTGGCTCTACAGGCTTTCTGTGGTAGATCATTAGTTGGATTTAATGTCAATCGAAGACAAGTACTTCCAAACCTAACATTAGCTGAGTTTGAGCTAGGAGAATTTTAACTGAGAGAATAAAATTCTTACTAGAGCAGTTTTACTGTAAAGACTGTATTTTTCTTCCATTGATGCCCTTGTACTCAGCTAATGGTTTTCCATCTTTTAACTTACTAATCCTCACAGACCTTCAAGGTACAGCCAGCTGCTCTGTCTGGTAATGGTGTTCTCTTCCTGCACAGTTTGAGAAAAGGCCATCGAGTTAAAACAATTAGCTTTTTTGTTTAAATTGTCCCTGTTAAAATTGATTTGTGGTGAAAATGGAAGACTGTGGCTTGAAAGCATCCCCGTGATACCTTCTGTGATCTGGTTACTTAAGCAATTCAGCATGTCTGTGTTATTTGAGTACCTTTCGGTTTAGATTGAAGGTGTTGAAATGTAAGTACAGAAAAAGAATTATTACAGATCAATCAAACAATGATTCTAGACCAGAACAAGCTGTTGCAGGATCCAAGAGGCCGGAACAGTAACAGCAACCCAACTTTGGTACAAACCTGCTTCGTTGGAAGTAGGGAAGGGCAGGCTTGAAGTTGTATACTCACTGCCCTATAAGAACAGGAAAAAGACCCTTCTGTCCTGAAGTCCTTGTAAATACCTTGATTTGTTGCCTGAATCCCAAGTCAATGGTTCAGCTGGCCAGTCTGAGAACTCTGTCTAGGATATTTAGCTTCCCATACTGAGTCTTCTACACCAAAGCTGTAGTTTGGGAACACTGCTGTAGCTGTAGAAGGATATTAGGGCTTACAAGTAATTGTTAATAGACATGAAGATCAAATAAACAGGTGTCTTCAAAGGATGGTGGTGTGTTAAAATGTTTTGTCTCCATCTGTTTCTATGATTTGACAACAGTCATTTTGTGTCGGTGGAAGAACAATAGCCGTGGTCCTCCATCTGCTGAGTTGCACAGTGCTCAAAACTGCCTTTGCAGTGTTAGGGATATCACCATCCCTGTACTTCCTTAAAAATTAGAGATGAGGTGCACATGCTGGTTTTTGTATTGTTCGTTCCTATAAGCTGGTATCAGTCAGCAATGATGATTCAGTATTTGATACTGATCTTGTCCCATGTGAACGGATATAATGGAGAGAAGTAAAACAGGAATGAAGCTGGGATCTTCTGTGGTGTGAAGAAAACAAAGGCTTTAGTTGCAGGTTGCGATATTTGTGTCACAGAGTTACTTGAATTTGCTTTCGTGTGCTGGTGATGTATTTATTTTTTTGAGACCTGCTTTACGCTTAAATACAATATATTCATATGAGAACTAATTGAGAACTTGTCAGGCTACAAATTGTTTAGTTATCAGTCACATGAATTAATGCCTTAGTAGATAAAAATAGAAAGGTTTGTAGGTGTACATGGTATCAAGGATATAACTGTAAGATTGTATAAGTACCATGCCATTAAATACTTGACAGAAAGTAATTTGTAAGTAGCCCTAACTTGCAACCAGCAAGCTTTGGTGTTGATAGGTAAACATTAATTACATCTGGTATATCTTCTTGCATTCCTAGCTTCCTTGGAATTGCATTTTTATATTGAATGTATTAAAGTAGACCTACCTAACACCCAGCAGAATTATATTAATGGCTTTGGTATTTCAGAAAGAAAATCACAAGTCGCAGTTATTTCAGGCTGGCTGTGTGTATTTTTTACATGATAATACACTGGAAGACACTTTTGTAAGTTGGCAGACTGAAATTAAAAGTAGCATCCACATTTTGGGTTGGAGGAATGGTCCATAGAGTTCATTATAAGCATTTTGTAGCATAGAGGACAGCAAAGGAGTTTTGTTCCTTTAAGAATTTGCCATGTGAGGATCCTATCTGGACGTTAACAGTGGTGGAAGAACTGTGTGTAAGTCAGTTGAACTGTAATTCTCAAACAGATAGTTGGTTTTTTGTTGCCCTGTAGTGTGGGTTGCAGAGAGGGACCCTGGGTCCGTGACTGGAGCTTTGAGTGATGCAGAAATATTTGATACGTGACGTGGTTTATTTCATCTAGAGGCAAGTTATTAGGTAAAGGGTACATCTTAATTACTTGTGGGATTCAGCTGGAAAATCAGACTTTTTAACAATGTCAGAATGTGAGACAGTAAGCACGGTGAAAGCTTGCCTTTGAGATATACACAGTGGCTTTCCCGACGCTTGCATCCAGATTAGTGCTTCAGTCCTGCTCTGCTGCTGTTGTGAGTGTGGGGAAGGGAGCTGTACAGAGCTGGAAATGAGAGCCAAGGATGGGAGCACACAGGACACCACCGTGTCGTGTGACAAGGGTGGTCAGGAGCCTTTCTGAATCTTACCTGTGCTGTGCACCAGCCGGCACAAAGGAGACGCCTCCGCTCGTTTTGCCGTGTTGGGGTTAAAACTTGGCAGTTGCAGATATAAAGTTATGTTTGACTTTGGGGAGGAGTTGCTGTGAAGGGCTGAAGGAAGCTTCATAGTAACCCTTCTCCAGTGAAACTGGCTTAAGAAATTGTGCTGTCAAACAGTCACTGGTATCTGAAAATGTAAGGCTCGTGTGGGAGTTGGTGATAACTCTTGTTTTCATAGTGGTGGAGTCAAAGCAGTGGTTATGCTAGATCACCATTTATTTAAACTTCTTCACTGCCTCCTGTCGTCAGCCTCCGAGAGAGCTAAATGGAAAATGGATCAGGGCACAGGTCATAACTATCCCGCCGGGAGCAGACTGACAAGCACGCTGCTGTGACTGCCTCCGTCACGCGCTGCATCTGTCTCTGCGAACAAAGTCAGAACTGGGAACGTGAAGATCAGGAAGAAGTTCAGGTTAGCAGAAAAAAACAGACAAGCAAGGCCCTTAAGATCCCACTGTCCTTCTGAAACCTGAAGAATAACTTCCAAGTGTAGCTTGACTCATGTATGGAGAGTGATCAACTTTGTTTCCTTTTAAGTGTAATTTACTCTTTGAACAGTGTCAGCCTTTCAGTCCTTATATTACATGTGTTAACTGCAGCTGTCTCAACTGTCTGTAAGATAGCCCTGTAAGTTTAATAATAATACAATAAATAAAAAAAGCTGTAATTGAAAAAACCCTCTATCTCTACTTCTGATCTACTGAGAGCTGATTAGCGGTCACTAAATTACAAGGGGGGGCAGGCTGTGAGGAGGAGGTCAGAGGCAGAGAGCACTGGAGGACTGAAATAAATCCATCCTATCTTTCTGCTTTGGCTGCAGTGGGCCAGTTGCAGTCTCTGGGCTTCTCATGTTGTGCTGCCACCACAGAGGGAAGCAAGTAGTGAGTTTATTATGTATGTGTGTAAAGGATCAGGACCCTCCAAGTCTTGCAAAATTGAGAGCTGGGTAAGCAGCCTATTTAAGTCTGCGTCACCCTAAACAGGAACTGAAAGTTTCCAAAGTGCGTTGCCTTGTGGAAAAGGAGCGTGTCACTCCATCCCACAGCGTGAGGTGGCAGTCTTAAAGCGCTGAAGACATGAGTGTGAGCTGAGCTGCGCTTGATATGTGGAAATCTGCCGCCGCCAAGGTATTGCAACAGCTTCTGTCATTTGTCACCTAGAGAGCGGAGGTGCAACTGAGGCTTTTTCATCTGGAGAATCAGTATTAGGCTGGATCCCACAGCAGTACAAGAGTACAAATGAAAACAAGAAGCCGTACAATAAAAAACACGCTTGTGTTAATAACAGTAGAAAATACTTGGTTGTTCGTATATGTGTCCGTGAGTGTGGGTTTTTTTTATTTTAAATGGCATTATGCAAGTTCCAGGCAACAGGTTAAATACTTTAATTACTCAGAAAAAGAACCTTCAGGAAGATAAGTCTTTGAGTGGAATGTTGTTTCAATTCAGTGGTATTAAACATTGATTGTTCGTATGTGTGTCCGTGACTGTGGTTTTTTTTTTATTTTAAATGGCATTATGCAAGTTCCAGGCAACAGGTTAAATACTTTAATTACTCAGAAAAAGAACCTTCAGGAAGATAAGTCTTTGAGTGGAATGTTGTTTCAATTCAGTGGTATTAAACATTGATTTGTAACTGTCAGCTAACTTAAAAAATTTAAGAACAACAAGTTTACTTCCAGAGTACTGTCTTTGCTCCAAGTTCTTCTTTCCTGCTGGAAAGCTTAGACTGGACTATCTGAAGCTATAGAGGGGAGCTTTTTTGTTGCAGCAGGAGGCTGAGTGATCTGGATTGTCTGCTCTGCTTGAGGCTTCGCAGTGAGGAACAGTGTTGGCAATGCTGTGTTTTTGTAGCATGCCTTAAGTATTTATATCCAATTGCTTTGTCCTGTTTTCATTCCCAGTTACAGAGGAGTTAAAAAGAGAAAACTTGTGTGTATTGCGGCCCTGTTTCTTCCTTAAAGTGATTCTTGACCTTGCAGTCTGATTGCTCACCAAGCTTAGTTGCCATGTTAAAACTCACTTTCCTTCCTTCTGGGGAAAATATCTTCTGCTGGTTAGCCTATCCTTAAGGAACTGATGGTGGTAATAAATACCTATTGCTGTTTAGCGCCAACTTCAGTTTGCTCTGCAGAAGTTTCGGATGTTTTTAGGATCTTTCATCATACGATTTTCAATAGAATTCTTAGTTTGAACTAGCAATAATCTATTCTGTGTAGGTCTTCCTGTACAGCAAGGTAGTTTTGAAGGCTGCAAAAGGGATTTTCCCTGTATGATTGCTCTTGTCAGCTGTCCGCATCCAGACAGCTCGTGGAAAGGTGTTGAAATATCTATTCAGGAACTTGAGCCTAATGCTTCATTTATCAATAGTTGTATTACTGACCATCTGCTGTTAGCATGACCGTGCATGGACCATATTCTTCTGCACCCTCAGGAGAAAGGGGAAATGCTGCGATTGCAAGAGGAAGCCCCTGTTGCAGCAGCATAGGGTATGGATCTCTAGGATCATCATCATGG